ACATTTGCAGTTTTTGTATTGATTTTTTTTAGTTTCCCGCCGGATCCTTTTTAAAGGAGAAATGGGCTGAAGCAACAGGCAGTAAAAGCTGGGTACCTACTAAATGTAGCACCATTTACTATAGGCATTATATGACATCACATTAAATTATATACATGTGAATAACAACCGAAAAATTCATTAACAAATAAATCATGTGGTTAATCAGGTGGACATGAAACTCAGAGTCGCCTTCACAAATTATAGACCACATCTAAATGTGAAAACGTTTCTGAAGCATTGTCAGTTATTTTTCCTCAAGTTTTCATGAAACAAATGATTCGCTTCTTCGCTTTCGGAAATAAGTATCACGCTATAGGTTAAGTCATGTTCTGCCAGTTCAGAAAGAGGTAATTGTTAAACAAATATATCATATTTCAGGGAGAATACAGATATTTATGATGACTGTGTTTTAATGTTTCAACCCTTCCAGCAATCGGATTGACTTGAAATCTAGTAGGTTATTGAAAGTACGATGATAGTATAGTAAATCATTAATACTGTGATTGTAGCATGTAGCTACGTACAAGCACACGCCTACGTAGCTAATATCAATTAATATTTGCGTGGAGCAAAACCTTATGCGTATTTAGTAAAAAATGTGTGCGTGTAAAGTCAGCTACGCTAGTTCTCGTAGAAATTGCTTTAAATGCCCTTTCCATATACTCCGTGATTAACCCTAATTATTGCAAGTATAAAGCAGTGCCTAGTTCAATATTCCGCTAGTTATTAAACATAATGTCGATATCAATTAAATGTCTCATCCCGATCTGTAGATTGTCAACTTTTTGTTTTTGTTCTAAGTTTATGTTCATAGGATTCTTAGTTTTTATGTGACTAGTAATAATAAAACCTTATTAGATCCAAATAAGTTTGAATTTTTTTTACCAAATGTTTTTTATTATTGTCTATTATCGTTTGATAATTTTTAACTAATCAAAATTATGGTATCTTAGCACTAATGTAAGATTACGTTTTCAAACGTGTGCGAGTGGCGAGACCGGTTTTGATACAAATGTTGATGCCATTTTGATTCTTCATTTCCATTCTTTTCTCTTTTCCGTGATAATTAACAAATAAACAGGTGAAGCTTTGTCATTTTTTGTTTCATCGTTTTCGCTGCAATGATTAAACGACAACGATAGCTATATACGCAATTTTATATCGTTGTCCTTGTTCTTCAAGATGTATAACAATAATTCAACAATAATTAAATAAGCTAACTTAGATTTATCAACTGTTTTCAATATTGTCACGGGGAGGTTTATCACGCATATTCTGCCATTTTATATGTATATATTTTTATATTCGCCATATTTTCGATTTAAGATGTTTGAAATAAATATTGTAAATGATGAATGTTTTAAAATCTATATTTACAAAGAGAAACCCCTAGAGTTTCTTGCTCATTCTTCTCGGGGGAATCTGCCTTACGAATACGGTAAGAACGGTACGGAACGGTAGAATTTAATCAATATAGCGATTTCAAGTGTTATTTACTTAAACATAAAATAAAGTTAATTTGAATTTTTATTATGAATTTTCAAGGTAACTTCGGCTATTTACCGTGAAGAGTGAAGAAGGCTACATCGACAAGAGCTCCTAGAGAGGATGATTGTTATTAGATTTTATTAATTTCAAATTAACGTTATTTCTAAAAACTTTAAATTACTCGGTTTCATTCTACGTATTACGGCGGCCTTTCCGTAAGGCCGTTACTGTTAAAACTTTGTACTCATCTTTTGTGTTCTTCGTTTCGTTCGGAAGTTCGGAAGTGTAATTTGTTAGCCTATAACATGCATATTGATGCATTAGAAAAAGTGCAAAAGAAATTTATCAAAAATGTCTGTTTTCGTATTAGAATTAAATATATTGACTATAAAACCTCTTGTAATGTTTTCAAGGTTCCATCTCTACGCAATAGAAGAAATTATATTGATTCTTGTGTTTTATATAAACTCTTAAATAACTACATCATCATCATTATCAGCTTACACGCATCCACTGCTGGATATAAGCCTCCCCACGAACACGCCAACTCTCCCGGTCTTGTGGTGCCCGAAACCAATATTTCTCTATAAGAATCAATTCCCGTTTATAAATAGATTATTTAGTATAGTACATATGTATAAACATAAATAATCATACTATTCACTATAAGATCCATTCAGTTTTTTTTTCCACTTTTCAAATTGTGTTTTCCCAATTCTGAGTTACGACAATATTTCATTCATAAAGTTGACACATCATCATTCCAAGGTCAAAAGTTACTAGTGTCAGTCTGTAAATTTTATTACGGTTAGAAATATACTTCGTTACAAACTCAAATTGGTTAAGTGCAACAAGCTCTTCCGACTATTATTATTTATTTTATTACTTTTATACCTGCAGCCTGTGGGTCAACTACACTCAGAAAGCTATCAACTCTCTAAGAGTTATATATAACAATATATTCCGGATGTTGTTGCGGCTGCCGCGATTCTGTAGCCCGTCAGGAATGTTCGCCGATGCTCATGTAGACGGATTTGCCGCCATAATGAGAAAAAGAGCGGCATCCTTGATGCGCAGAGTTCGTGGCAGCGGTAATAGCATTGTGGGTATTGTTGCTGGCAGGGTCCAGGGTTCATTTTTTGAACACTGGACTAAATTACATGTATGTCCTAAACCCAGCACGTATTTATGAATTTGTATTTTCTAACACTAGTATGTAAGTTTTTGTTTGTTATACTAACCAATATGGATGAAATCTGAATTAAAGTTTTTGAATTTGAATTTGAATTTGAATTATTATTATTTATATAGTTTAATATTAATTACTTCAAGCAATGATTTCAAGTAATACAGAAAAGAACAAGGCTTAACAATAGGAAAAACGATTGTGTGAGTTCTGTATAAATCAAATTACAAAGAAAGGAACGGTCGTGAAAAGGAAAACGATCGACCTTCGATTTTTTATTTAGTTTCCCAAATAACACTTCCTTCCATCTTTAGGGAACAGATGGACTTTTACTATTACGTAGATCGCATGGAGAATTTTTGGGTCACTATCTTTTCTAAGTCATCAATTGACACTCACCAGAGCTTGCTGACAATCATAATCACAATTATTAATACAAAGATCGAAAACAAAGAAAAATTCCTTCGATTTGACATGACTCGGACCTGTGTCTGTATGCCAAACTAAGGGCACATAAGGTCAAAGGTCTCTCACAGAAAAAACCAATGCAAAAGATATGTAACAAACACTTAGAAAAATTTGTAAGGTCCGTTGACTCTATCTCAGACTCAGTTTATAGAACGGTGGCCCTAGATTTTTCGATTGATTGACGATTGTCAAATCAAAGGAATTTTTCTTTGTATTAATAATTATAACAAACTAGTGGAGTAATTTCACAAAAAATAAATGAACATCATAGTAGTAAGACTAAGGTAGCACAATGGTTTGCACTGTGAGTCTTGGATGATGAAGTCCAGGGGTATATCCCCGGTAAGACCAATTTAGGAAAATAACTTTTCTGAATTGGTTCTAGTGTGGGTGTTCTAGGTAGTGCCCCGGAGTAAATTCCGTTGCTCCGGTACTCATAGTCCAGGGACCTGGTTTCGCCGAACCACCGGACTGTGATTGCTTTCAAAGAACGCGATATTTTATAGAACTACCGCGTCATTTAGTTTTTATTTTTGTTTCAATTTAAAGATTTTTAAAATATTATATTGTACAGTTATTTATATTTAATTTATTGAGATTGTTAAATATTACGATATTGTTTTTTTTCTTTGTTATTATTGTTTTATGTGTACGTTTATTCGTATTACTTATATCCTTGTTTAAACAAAATTTTGTTTATATGTATGATTATGTGTATATTACGAATAGAGCAACACTCAAACCCTTTAGGTTTAAGAGTGCCAAGTACCTGGGTAATAAATTATTGTAATATGAGTAAATAAATGAATAAAATAAGGTAATTGGTTGTCTGGCATATTATTATTATTAAAACCAATATTTACTTAATCATTCTGAGTCTTATTATTGTTGATTTTCAAAGCCAACGTTTAAATGAATCAATCGTTTTGAATTAAGAAATCAATTCGTCTGTAAATGAATTTAGCGTTTCGTTTATTTATATTAAACATTTATTGAATTACGCAGCGCAGATGAATTCATTCAACAGCAATGGTCCTACGTGTATGCTTACTTTTTGTTAACACAAACGATTGATATTGAGTAACGCCTCAATCAACGGGTCAAAGAGCTTAGAACGCTCAAACGCTTCAGCAAAGCGAGTGCAAATCGCCCTGAAATTGAAATTGAAAAAAATCACGAAACAGTTCCATGAATAGCCCATAAGTCAACACAATAAAGTGGGTTTTAAATTGCAAAACAAATATCATCACAAATACCCAGTCTGTATTCTAAATTTTCCGAATGAAGAAGTGGATGATAGCTCGATGGATAATCTACCAAACACTCTTTAAACGTATGGGGCTGGTGTCGAGTACCCATTATTCAAAAGCGTAACCCAAGAACACTTACAAAAATCCCTAAAGCAGATAATAAAAAAAATCGACCTCAAAAGTTTGTGAAATTACATCTATTTGCCAAGTTTTATCGGTTACCGGAAAGTGTGCGCAACCGGATTCATCCCCTAGTTTGCCATCACTATAGGTGAAATATTTCCTTCAAATTTAAATGGGACTATACTGGGGTACCCACTTTCCAACAAAAAAGAATCTTTAAAATCGGTTCACAAATTATATTAGCCGGAGTAACATACATACAAAATAAAGTACAGTCCTATTGAGAACCTCCTCCTTTTTTTGAGTCGGTTAAAAAAAACAGAATCAACTTTTCCTTTAGAAAGTCAGGTTACGTTTTAGGTATTTGCTTTGGCTTTTTAATAAAACCAAAATGCTTCTCTAAAGCAAAAAAATTAAAGAGAAATTGTTTTTGTTGTCATCAGGTCTCATGGATCCGCAAACGAGATCTACATATCTTGACAGTGGGCGTTCACACGTACAGCAGTGACGCGCGATTTGCGGCGCTGCACACGGATGGATCTGATATTTGGACGCTAAGGGTAGCTCCGGCGCAGCCACGAGATTCCGGTGCTTACGAGTGTCAAGTCTCAACGGAGCCCAAGATTAGTTTGGCATTTCGGCTCACTGTAGTAGGTAAGAATCTATACATTATACTAAGATACAGTACTACCATTGTAATATCAAAATCAGCATTGTGAGAAAAAACTGCTAAAAGAATTGCTCGGTTTTTGTGGTTGTGATTAATACATAAAAGATACATTTAACTTTCTTTGTATCCTGAATATTAAAAAAATCCATTATAATTGACTAAGCAAAATAAGCTATTGCTATTGCAATACAAATAAATTTATTTTCCCTTGATAGCAGATGGATGATTCTCATAGTAATGAAATTATAAAACACTGTACTGGGTAAACACTTGCAGTGTTTTGGTTTGTCATGACAGAGCAGTTACTAGATTTTCACAGATTTTCCTCTATTTCTGTGTTATACAGTCTGTAACAAAAAGGTGCGACCATGTTTTAGTTCGTAGACCTACAAATAATGTTGACAAACAACATCAACGAAACAAAATTTAATTAAAAAGAAATATTGTTTCCTGAACAAATTTTCGATCAACCCGACACATTTTGAAGGAAATATTTTTCAAACAAAACATTTACTTATTGTGCTTAAAAAATTCTACATCAGTTGTTTATTTTCATAAGAACAATCACATTTTCGTTACAAAGGACAAAATAGAGACGTTATTAAATGTTCTACCGCTACAAAAAACGTTTGTTTTGTTTCAGTATCAAAAGCTGAAATCCTATCGGGACCGGAGTTGTTTGTTCGAGCTGGCTCCGATATCAATCTCACTTGCATTGCGAGACACGCACCCGATCCCCCAAGGTTAGTTTTATTTCCTGGACACAGGCATTTATTATGTGTTATGATTACTTTATATACTGTGTTTTCTTAACAAGGACAGTAAGGGGAAATCCGAAACCATAGGAGATACAAAGACACTGTTGTAGAAACCATTAGGTTATTTAAAAATTTTATTATGTATTCAATTATTTTTTGTGAAATTACTCCACTAGTTTGTTATAATTATTAATATAATTTTTTTCTAAGTGTTAATAATTATAACAAACTAGTGGAGTAATTTCACAAAAAGTAATAGAATATCAATTTAATAAAAAATTTAATTATTAAAAATAAAAATAATTTTAATAAAAATAGTTGGTATAGCGTCTGGCACGGTAAGCTAGACGACGTCGGTTTGAATCCGGTCAGATTGAAGGAATTTTTTCTGAGTGTTCGGTCTTTGTATTAATTATTATAACAAACATTAGGTTATTTTTTGTGAAAACAATTTGGCATAGTAAATTTTTCGTCAAGAGTGAGTTGTCAATAAAAATGATTATATTTTCTATTTTTTTTCTTACTGCTTGTAAGGATCGTTTCATTGTATCGGAAGAAGAAATCGAGACCTTGATAACATTTCATAAAGTTTTTCCCAGTCTTTTCAGATCTCCCCATACCATCGTTTAAAACACACACACTGTATATTATGATATCATATAAGGTGCGGCAAAAGGATGCGATCATAATTCAGCTGGTGACCGGTCATATTTATTATGATAATAAACAATTTCAGGAAAAAAATAATGATTTTGATGATTTTGAATCTCCACACAAACAGTATGCAAGCAATCAGATATCTATTGACTACATATATTCAGTTTAGCACTTCATATCTTGACCTGCTGGTCAAGAACGCATTTGCCACAGATTACTACCCGTGGACAAACGCGTTCTTTTAGATTTATATTAATATATAAAACAGTAGTAGTAGTAGTAGTAGTAGTAGTATGGTAATGCATCTATTGGAGTTCATTTACCATCAAGATATAATTTATGTATTAGCGCGCAGTTCCGTTTTCTAAACCTTCCCAAAATCCTACATATAGTAGGATACGCTACGCCAGATCCGCCAACAATAAACAATAATATAATAATAATGCACACACTCAACATAGCACTAGGGAAACCCTGTGTCGCAGGTGCTATGGACATACATAGACAAACACAAATTAATTAATGTAGGCCGTACAAATATTTCTCCCGGCCTGGGAATGTAACCTGGGTCCTCTGCGTGGCAGTCCAACATGGTAACCGTTCGGCCACAGACGCAGTTACAGTTACAAACATCGACAATTTTGGCATTACGTTGCATTCGAACTTAAAACTGTATCACTTTTTCATATTTTCTGAGTATGGACTGTCCGCGCCTCCGCCCAGTTATAAATGATAGTTTTGTTGAAGCTGTGTACCACAGTATGTGAATTGTATGAAAGCAAAGTCGTGGTAACACCATTTTTTGAGATACAAAGTGACAGCACGAACAAGTTGTACGCCGGATAGTAAGCGACACGCCTGACCAAAGCAGTTGCAGTGCCACTCAGAGCTTTAAATCGCAAAGATCGCAGAGGCACTGCCACTGCGTCTGTCACCCTGAGACATAAGTTGACAATTCTCATATTCCTGTAATTTCACCATCTGTGGTCACGAAATATTATAACATAAATTTAAGTGCTCTAAACGGGTTGGAGATTCTGATCTGAAGGTGGGTGTAACCTCACCCTGCCCCGCAGCTATCAACGAGCTATCGAGGTTTTTTTTTAATACATAATGTCACCAGTGGAGACACAACAATTAGTAGCGAATGTTCGATTTTGAAAGCTGAGTACGACCATTACGACAAATATGTATATTATCAGATACATATCAGATATATAGTTGTTTTTTATTTATATTTTTTTTATCATCCACAGTACCACCACCAGCTGAAATATGGCCACACTTGTTATTACAGGCTGTATAAATAACGTAAGATTTTCGAAGAAAGTTGATAGTATATCTGTAGAGGTAATGCAATGGCATACAGAAAACTTGATACCAAACAAAAATAAATATGTCGATTATTTTTATTGCTTCCACTAAAGCTCTCAAGTGCACCAATAAATGAAAACATCTCTCGGTAGGAAACAAATAAATTGGTTGCTCTTAACTACGATCGAGGAAAACCTTACTTCGATTAAAATGGCACACTTTTAGATCATCGCTTAAAATAAATCTCAGTCGAGTTATCATTCTTTCATTCTTTGTTTTCAGTTGAAAACAAAGTGAAACGTCAATCCTGTGTTTTTGAAAACCATTCCAGAATTTCATAAAAACACATGGTTTTGAAATGTGTACGATCCGCCATCGACCTTCGGATTTACTCTCAAGTAAAACTGTTAGGATGTATTGATTTACTTCCGTACATATATTTTTCTTTAAAAAGTTCCGTAGGTAGACCACCCACCTGATAGTCTGACGATATCAAATTTGCGTGATCGCACTGGATTCGAATGGCACAGAACCGTGTAAATTGGCGCATAAAGAAGACGCCTGTACCTAGTAGTTGGTTGGTGCGGCCTGATGATGATGATGATATAAATAAATTATTAAAGTGCCTGACAGTCAACCCAAAGAATCTTCAATTAAGGAATTCATCGTAGATTTGTTGTATGTAGCACAATCCAAAAGACAACAGACAGACCAGGAGAGTCAACCCGTGACCATGGAGCATGCAAGCGTTGCGAAATATCGGTAAAATGAAAAGAAGTCATACCGTGGTAATAAGCCTGAAATTAGTGATAATCATTTAGTGAATAACCACGAAAGCCTTAATATCTATATAGACCAGGAGAGTTTGTTTCTTAAATAGATTTCATCGAGAACTTGAAACACGAAGCTTCTCATAAAAACCCAGATACAATAATAATTGTTAAGTTTATTATGAATGAAATTGAAATATAATATATTAAATTTTGCGTAGACTTGCGTTAAATTCTTGTAAAACTCGGTACATGCAATCATTTTACTTGTACTTACAAAAACTTGAACATTTAATTAAAATCAGAGTACAAGTTTCTTTAAAAAGGCTATGTTAAAAGAAGACCTATAAAATAATACAAAAACTTTTGAAAATGTCTATTTCTTTCGTTGTGGAAGTGCTTAAAAGAACTAAAATAAAAGAACTGGTTATAAAATCAAAAATTACAAAGTGCGAATACCCGAGTGAAGCACTCTGAGAAGTTTTCAAATTTATGCTTAGGCAGAGAAGGGTTGGCAAAATACATATTAAATTTGTTGTACTTCAAAATGAACATTTTTCTGCGCTCGAATTTGGAGCATTTTGTTTTTAACGGGAAACAATAATTTTCTTGGAAAGTACGCCCTGCTGCCCTAAGGCTCCCGTAGCTTCCTAAACCAAGATCCCTGGCCAATTGATCGCCCTCAAGCACACTACTTACCTTATAATACGGGTTAAGAGCCTACAGCTCGTCGTTTGTCTGGTGCCAAATTCAAGGCCATCAGCGGACTATTAAATATATCCTTTAGAAAAAGAAATCTCGATGATTAATAGGAGCTTCCGAGCAACCTACGAGTATTAACGGAATCAGTGGATCAAAAGCTGAAAAAACGTGGCCATCGTTTGCAAGGAATTTGTTAGTAATGTCGTTTTAGACAGTTATGTGATGGCGTTTAAACCAGCAATAAATCATATTGTATCAGGCTTATGCATTTATATACTGAAGAAGCATCTTGCATATCGCAAATGAAGCGGTCGTAAGACAAAGGACTTTAAGTCTCCTGTAACTGTGTTTGAGCTAACTGTTCCCATTTAATCTGGTATAGCAGCAGTGCTGCTTTGAGGAAGAAATTGCTAGATAGTAGAAATAGAATACACAAAGTAAACCAAGATAGTAAAAAAACTGACTTACTTAATACATATCTCCACCTGTATGATGATAATAATGACAGTGAGAAGTTAGCTAAAAAGCTACCCAGTCTAAATGTATGAGACCTCGTCAAAACTGCTATACTGAGAGCTTTAAGACTGCCATTGCGTCAGTTACTTTGAGACATAAAGTTGACAAGTCCCACGTCTTTTGTTTCACCAGCACCCTTGCCCTTCGAAATCAGAGCGCCGAAAATAACACATTACAGCTTGACAGCATAAATAGGTGTTTTTTTTTTATGATACCAAGTGGCGGGACGAACAAGTCGTACCACCAGGCGGTGGTAAGCGACACGCCTATCCATAACAGTTGCAATGCCATTCGGAGCTTAAAAGTCGCAAACATCTTATGGGCACTGCCACTATTCCCCGTCATCCAGAGCCTTAACACGACAAGTCCCATGTACCTGTAATTTCACCAGCACTCTTACCCTTCTAAACCGGAACCCAGTAATGCTCACATTACTGCTCGACGAACTCTTTCACAAGGACCTCTACTGTTACTAATGATGGTAGTACTTCCCTGGACTTACTCTTTCCTTTTGATGATACTTGATCTCGACAATTGCTGTTGTCCTGAGTATCATGATATGCATTACCACTTTAACAGAATTCTGTTTAATTCGAGTTTACCTATGAGATTTCCATAAACAATTCTTAGTTGCTACTGTATAGTCCAGATAAATGGCAATACGTATTTGTGTTAAGTCTTGAAACAATAAAAGCCAACTTAGCTCCTAAATTCGCTCTAATAGCTCAGGTTTAGTTTCAAGATTGTTTTATTTAATTACCATACATAACATTTAACGACTCATGATTGTTTACCTTTATGTTAATTAAACGTAAACTTCAAAGAGTTCATGGATTTAAGATACACTATACTTAAATAATGGCATTTTTTTTTTTATTTACCATAAGGGCTAGCGTACATACAATATAATAAAACACTACTTCTAACTAATCTACACGAATTGCACTTGTCGGTGACGTGTGGCGCAATCTGGTATCAGGTAATCGGCCGCGGCCGCGACCGCCCATATAAAACACCTTTCGGCCA